TCGCTCGATATCATTTCACTCAGTGTCTGGATTGGATGCTATTTATGTTATGTAGTTATTACTGCTCTGCAGATACCTTATCGGAGGAAAATAGCATCCAGCGTAGCTAGTGGCATGTACGTACTCAACGATGGAGCCTTTGTGGTGAGAATTTGGTGTTCAAATTTAGTATTTATATACTTGTTTTTGGGTGGGAAGAATCAGTTGAGATTTAGGAATGATCGGGATTGGGATCGGGATTGGGATCTGGATGGGAGGTGTTTTAGTGGATGGGAATTAGTATCTACTGGTTGGCTGTATGGTAGGTAGGTGGTGATGATGAGTAATTGGAAGGTTGGATATATGGGTGGATAGGTAGGGAAGAGAGAAAGAGAGAGGAGCGAGGGGTGGGATGAGGAGTAGCTAGCTAGCTAGTTATCTATCTATTCTATCTATTCATACACTCATTCATTCATTCATTAGCTATATCATCTATACTTGCTATACCATCTATACATAGACAAGATTTCCACATATCTGGTTCAGTTCAGTTTGTTGTAATTAGGTGTTTGAAAATAACATCGGTTAATAATGAGTATGTAATAAGTGACAAGTAACAAGTAATAAGTATCTCCTTTCGCTAGGTAATTGATGCCAATTTCTGCTTACCTATCCAGGTAGCTTAATGTTTCTTTCTCTTTCTTTTCTTTGTGTATTTGATTTGTGTGGAATAGATGGAATGTATGGAATTGTAGTCCTTGATTTGATTTGATGTGATGTGAGATGAGATGAAATGAGAAGGCTTGTCCTACTGCTCTGTATTGTACTCTGTCCTGTTCTATTACGAGGACAAGTAAAGACTGAGTGTCAAGTACCATGAGAAAACAGGATACAGACCTGGATCTAGAGATCTAGCGAGATTGTAATTTAGTCTGGGTAGTGTGGAATTTGAATCTTGAAGTATGGGTCTCAGGTTTTGAAGGCGAGGATGTGGATGTGGATGTGGAAGATGTGTTGTGGAATCTGGAGATCCTAGTTGCTTGTATGTGTAGTGTTCGAGATGGTAAGTTGTCTTGGGTAGGAATTAGTGGGCGAGTGAGGTTGATAGGTAGTAGTGGTGAAGAAAAGATAAAAAAATGAAATGGGGTGTGGGAAGAGGGAACAGAAAAGGGGAAAGGGGGAAGGGGGATGAGAAATGTTATGAGACTAGATGGAGATGAGATAGTATTCGGAGAAGAGAACAAAGGATGGAAAGTAGATGAATGAATTGGTGTGGGATCATGATGCTTTTGGATTGTGGGTGGTGAGGGGGATTTTGAGAGGCGATTTGGAGAGGGGATTTGGAGAGGGAGATTTGGGAAATGGCTAGATTATCTAAATTAAGTGGATTGAGTAGACGAGTGGTGAACTAGTTGCAGCGTGGGGGACTCGAGAATGATGTGCACTATATACTGATTATTATGTGCATGAATTTCTGTATCTGAGAAAAGTTCACCGGGGTTGGAGATATGTTGAGATGGATCATATTATGCTCGAGTGGAAGGTCTGTTTTCTTTCTTTTTTTGGAGAATGTATTTTTGGCTGCTTGGGATTAACTTATTTATTATACACATCTTCCTATTTTGCATCTAGTTTGTGGGATTCGCACAATCTGCATCGTTGAATTTACATCATGCTTATGTATGAGGGTATAGAATTCATCATTGTCTACCATATCTATATAAACGAAAGCCAGGAAGTACAGACAACATATTTCATACCCGACGATTTCCGAACCCCTAAAAACGAATTTTCGTTTCCACATTAATCTTCCATTCGATATTCGGGAAAATCTTTGCTATCAAGCAGACGAATCTCCCGCATGTAAGCTTGAACTTGTATATCTATCTCTTCTCTTTCTTGACCCTTTTCTCCTCGAGAACGAAAATCTGCTGTAATGTGAAAGAGGTAGAGTGTGGTCAGGATCAAAAGAGGTCTGTAGTGTAGGAACAGCCCAGTACTCTTTCCCCAGCTGTAATCTCCTCTCCTGCCATTCTCTCTGGACTGCTGCAAGGGACGAAATCCCTTCCCTCTTGTTGTGGCTTGTAGGCTGAGAAGGAATGAAATGCGAGGCGGAGGAATCCATGGACTCGGAGCGGTTCATGGAGACCCGGCAATATAGCCTGGTGCGGACCAACGGATCCTGGGGAGCCGCCAACATTGATTCTGTCGGAGGTTCTCCTCAGGGTACCCGCTGGAACCGCACCGCAACATGAAAGTTGCTTTTTGATATAGCATATTCTAAAGACATTGAAGATGATGATTGGGAGCATATCAGCTCTGATGGAAGAATGGAGGTTCGTGAGTTTTCTACCAAACAAGATTGCTTGGTGTGATTCGTGGGGAAATACTTGTGGAATGCTATGTAGCCAGGAGAGCCAACGACGGACTTGACAACTGCAGATTGCTCGGCGATAAGTTTTTGTCGCTTCGCTGTGCACTTCAAGATCGGCGATGATCGTGGTTTGAGAGTTTTATGAACAATTGAACGGCAATTGCGAGTGCAGTTCCCTGCGGCTGCGATTATGTAGAAGGTGAATCGACTGCATTTCGAATCCGATGAATAAGCATGTTGCTGTTGTTGGCGCAAATGGACTAGGATCGAATGGCAGACAGAGCAGCACCAGTCCTGCGAGAGCAGTCGACGAGGTATATGCCATCTCCAAAAGATCATATGAAGGCGTTGGAAACCTCGGTCAAGGGAGGCACAGCCGCCACCAGTCCTGCGAGAACAGATCGACAAGGCTCGCGACTTCGCTTCAGTACTTCGCTGTATCGCCGCTCATCGCGGTTGATGATAGCTTGTCCGCGGTCTCCACGCTATGCTGAAAGCCTAGTGAAGGCGTTGGGAACCTGGACGAATAGAAACAGAACGGCAACCAGCTCTGCGAGAGCAGTCGCGAGGTGAGTTCGATGTTCGTTAAAGACATTGAAAATGAATTGTGAGGACTAACAGGCAGAGCACACAGCTGCGAGAGCTGTCGCGAGGTGAAGTTGACCACCGTGGAAACTTTTGAGATGAAGGCGTTGGGAACCTGAGAGAAAAGCACAACCACCACCAGTCCTGCGAGAGCAGTCGGCGAGGTGCACTCTATATTTGTATCAAGTTATTGAGAACAAGGCTTTGTGAGACCATATGGAAAGTGGTACTCGCACTATTATTTGCATCTTGATAATGTTGGTGCGAAGAAATTGATTCTGGACTCTGATAGGTATGTACCACGTGTCAAAGCAGATGATGTAGTATGGCGGGTTACTATTTATGGTTAGAAATATGCCGAACATGGAAAGGGAAGAGCAAACCTTCTAGTTCCAGCACATTCATTACGATGATGTAGTGATCAACCAAGTTAGTTCTTCGTGTTGATTGTCTTTGAAATTGGTGCTCCAGACGTAAATTGAATTTCGCTGCACGGTGTGGATCTGTTTTCCAAGATTACTGTTAGTCATGGTATGCAGAAAATGAAGTGTGTACTTGATTCACTCATGTAGGGAGTGGAAGTTTGATCTTACTTACGTACAACAATCAAACTGCTATTGCATCATCATCAAGTTGAAATAGAGAGATGTCGCGGTTCTGATTCAGAAGACGACTATTTGATCAGTGACTGAAAGCAAAGAGTTGAGATTGATTTCATACTATAACCGCTGGCATTTCCAGCGTACTGATCAAAGTCGGCTTATGGTGAGCACCCGATGTACCTTGGTAGACTTTTCGGAGTTTCAAATGAGAGGATGGGATTGTAACAACTGAAGTTTATTCGCATTGATATACTTCATAGTGGTAATGGATATGTGGCCATGAATAGAAACACAATAGAAAGAAGTTTCAAGTTAGGGTTGAGAGGAGGTATTAAAGGAGAACTAAAAGCACTATTCATGGCTAGAAAAGCGCTAGTCAGGTCTAGCTTCTCTAGATGAAAGTTAAAGAGAATAAAGAGAAAGCCAAGAAATCGATTCTTTTGAAAGGAAAGGAATTTCAAACTTCAATAAACATTTTAATAGAATTAGAAGTTTGTGGGATTATTTTGGAACTAAGATTCCTGCTTAGTCGGCCATTCGAAGACTCTCACTGGATACATCTTCTGTACCCTCGAGGGTATCCTTAGCCCAGACAGATTTTTCAACTAATGATTTAGTTCAAGTTCTTAATCTTTCTTTGAACTTTCAATCCTCCTCTCTTTCAATAACAAACTCATAGTTCTTTTTCATAGACATTTGTTGTCAAGTCACAGTCTTTGGTAAGATTATTTCTACCCCTTTCAAGCTCTTCCCATCAATACTGTTCCATCTTTCATTCACAACAAAGCCTTTTTTTTCCCGATATAGTGAGGTTAATTCTAACTTCATATCGGGATAGAAGCATTCTTTCCAGCACTTGGGCCATGGTCATGCGGCTTTACAAGCTGAAAGTAACTCCACTGAAGGAAATCACCCTCGGTCTCTAGAACGCGTTCGACGCATTCAAATCCGTAGAGACCGAGGGTGATCGATACAGATTCAAGAATTTCCTGGTGGTTTTCAAATGTGAGTGCCAAAATTTGATTTCGTTTTTCGTGGGCCATGGCAGCAGTCAAGGTCGCCACAAGGTCATCAACACCCTTCTTCGATCTCGTTCAGAAGATACGGTTGAGACAAAAATGTATCCTCAATGTGCCAGTGGACCATTTGCACCCCAGCTACAACATTTTAAATCAGTTCAAATTCCATTGCTTCTGTATCTGGTCTTGATACCGGGACTTCAGTGAAGTCTATCGCAAAGATTTTGTTGACACATTCTGCCTTACCTCTCTCTTCCGCTCACTGCAGAAACCATGCTAACTTTGCTTTAGAGAATATCACCTACACCGGTGAACGCCACCAACACGTGTAACTGGTAATCCAAACAGTGAAACCTACGACCAAGTCCCGAGCTACTACGCTTGTGTTTCAATACAGCCAGCTATTTGAATGGTAAGCAGGAAATCTCGGCTTGAGAAAGTATGACTGACAAAAGAAATGCAGATATCCTGGAACCTCATCATGTTTGGTACTTTGTAACCTCTAAAATGTACGTACCGCGCCTCCGCCTTCTGTTATCATTGCTAGTTGTTGTACACGTGCTTACTCACCCAAGCTTCGAAAGAGATCTTTCCAGCAGCTGGGCCAAGCTATGCGGCTTTCGAAGTGGGGATACAGACTCTTGGTAACACCCAGAGCCTGGAGCTCCAAGTACTTCACCATCTCAACAACAACCAGTCCATTCGCAACATGTACTGCTTTTGACCGTGAATGGGTCTCAAACCTTCTGAACGGTTATCTCAATATTTCAGACGAGTGGATCGTCTATGACGAGGCTTTCACTCTCGAGCCTAAGACGCCGCAGACCTCACAGCACTGTTTACATCAGCTTGCAGGTGCTGTGTTGTTAGGTACTGAGAGTAGAGCAAGAGATAGGTATAGCGGGAATAGTAGCGCTGGACTTACAGGCACGAAAATTGAAGAGAGAACGGGAAGTCTCTTGGGGACGTACCTGGGTTCTTAATCCAACCAAGAAGTTTTTAAACTTGCCTTTCGACTGTCAATCCTCCATCTTTCGATAACGTCAGAGCAAAGGTACGTCTGATAAATCTTGAATCTGCAGAAAACTTACTAATTTGTCTGCATAAAGCCGAGCTTTCAGTTTCGACCCTCCGACCAAGGAAATCTTGGTGCCGATGACAATATTTGATGCTGCCTGCTAGACAGGATGAAGAAACTGGACTCACGTCTTTTGTTCTTGAAACAGAGAACGACGACCTTTCAACCAAGCTTGAAGCATATGCAAAGCGCATGATGCTGCCGATGACATTATTTGAAGCCGGTCCCCAGTGGGCAGAGATTTCTAAAGCGACGTGGAGAATTTCTCCACAAATGGAATTAGCACCTATTCAGAACAGATAAGCCAAAAGAATAACACGGAAACTCTGGATTCGCGATGGCGTGTGCTCAAGGCGCAGTGGCAGCAATGAAAATTGGCACGACCAGAAGCAACTAATTGTGATGGAGACTGATCTGACGTACTTGTTAGCAGGAGTACCGAGTAAAGCTCTGGGCCAGACAATGCGGATCCAAGATAGCACAGTATGAAGGAAAAGGCATAAAAGGGTTTGAGACCAGAGTGGGTGGCAATGGATTTGAAATGCTAGCTGTATTCGTTTCTGTATTAATACATTATGTTTCCCGCAGCCGCTTCGGCGTGCCTTCTCGATATCACCTTTCGTGAAGCTGGTATTGTTGGCACTTGCAACATTCCATTTATATATAACATGTGAATGGCAACAGATCGTTTTTCCTTGAAATGAAATTTTTTCTCGTTCTCCAAACCATCGCGAGAGAGATCGAACAGACGTCCTTGATAACCTACTTCAACACATGGAAACTTCCAAGAGAAAACCCAGAAAGGTACTCAACATTCCATGCTTTTGAGATCTAATACTGATGCTAACAATCTTGCAGTATACCAACGCCTCGAGAGAACTCTAGAGTATGAGACGAGAGAAGGCTTCTCGGAGCCAATCCGCATTTCAAAAGATATGTGCGACGTGCTCTCAGTCAGGGTTGAAGTGGTACTTTGTCGTTACTGTACCTCTTCCAAGCAATAACCAAGACCATCGTCTATGTACCATTGATCGCTGCGTCTGGCACCAAGTACCCCCAAAGATTGCGAAGCAAGCTGAACAGGAGACCGAATGAGGCGTGGGTAGCTCTGCTGTCGTACAACCGGCATCAACAAAAGACCACGGGTGGTGGCTCGATTTCAGGCTTCATAACGTGCTGTCTAGATGAACTAATACTTTTTGGTGTCTTTTGAGGAAGACTGCACCAAACAAGATCGATCCGACTGATTCTGCCGTCCCATCAAGAAGTCCCTGTCGTGGAATATTCAGTCTTTTCGACATTTTTAATCCCCCAGCTTCAACGTCCACTTGGCTCTTCGGGACTCAAGAAGTGAAGACTTGACTCCGAGAGCTTGCAGTGGTGATTTATCCACTCCTCAATACCAGGATTCTGGCCTTGCTCACTTAAACTCAACTCGGCAACATATGATCATTCAAACTTCTCACAGCATGCAACAATGACGCCGTCAAGCTCCTCAGAAGCAACTGAATCGCAACACGACCGAAATGTCAGTAAACTACATCTTGTACTTGGTTGGCACTACCAACGCAATCCCGAATTCTAGCTGCTGTTGGGATCCCTCAACAATTTGATAACTAGCAGCTACTTCGCAAGCGTACGCAATTGCCGAAGCTGCTAACTAGCACAGCGACCAACCACTTGAAGGGACGTATATTGATGGTCGAAATGAACGACCCGACCTTTTGTATCCAAGCATTCATCCCTTGGAAATGGAAGCTCGATACGCCACCTTGATTCCACAATTACGAGTGGAGTTTGGCATCCTATAAGCAAGTCAATGACCTTGATCGGGGACTCGTCTTCTCAATAATGTGAGTTTGTCTCAATCCTTCAAATTTGTTCTGTACTGACAACCCTTCAGTGAGGCAATGACAAAGCACCCACCTCAGCAGCCTTCAACGGCTCTTAGCAAAGCTACAGCCCTCAGGCCTGAGTAACTGCTAGTGTATTACCAGGTATACCTCTGCAATCTGCATTTCAAAGCATCTAGGTCGCTTCATTTTTCGTGGACAACTTGACCTACATCAAATTCTGCAGAAACTATCAAATCCCAGATTCAAATCTCCCATTATACATGGAATCGATTGAGGACCGAAGCGACTGTTACCACTAGTCGCTGTTCTGATCTCGGATAACATGAAGCCCCAGGTTTCTATCCTCGATCATCTTCAAAAACAGCATCGGTGGATTTATGCTATCCTATTTTCACTCACCGTCTCTGGGCACGACAAAGACAGCTACAACTGCACTAGCAGTGACTACATAGGCACTCTCGATTTTGGTACGTAATCAGAATAAATATTTGCTTTACGCATATCACGGCTCTTAAGACATTCGAGCAATACAACAGCAGTGTTGCTGCACATTTAACCAGCATGCGGGCGACTCCCAGCCAAGCCAATCGGCGCTGACAAAACTCTCGAAAAGACTGTGAACTCTTCATCAGTAGCTTCGTAGAGGCATTGAGTGATAAAATGAGCAAGAGAGTCATGAATCCATCAATCACCATGCGATATGATAGTTCTATCACCAATCCTGTCGGTCTTCGGAGTTTCAACGGTTGATCACAATCGCAAATTCGATTAGAAGCTCCTCTGTCATTCAACAGCTCACGATCCGGTTACCGCAGTCATCCTATCGTACCAGCTGTTAAAGCTTGTGCGAAGCGTCTTGCAAAGGAAATCGGCATTCCAGCTTCTCAAAGTAAAATCCAGAAACCTCAAGTTACCAATGTAAGTCTCCCTATACTCGTTCAATATCCCAGTCGCTCATAGTTATTTAGGTAAAAGAGAATACCAAGGCAAAGAATGGCCAAACATCAATGGCACGTCTTTCAAGAGCCCCATGGGCAGCAGTGAGAATTTTGATCTTTGGAGACCACTCTATATAGAGATAAATAGTCTCCCATGAACCAACTTATTCCGTGGACAAAAATGGAATGATGTGGTGAATTTGCCCTACCCGCATCACAGGTCACAGATCCGAGAAATTGTGGATGTTCAGAGGGGTGCGTGGAAATCATGCTCCCAAGAGATAGGCAAGTTCTTATCTGATATCCTCTCAGCAGCTCAATTTAGCATACTATCACTGGCGGTGTGGTTTCGGGCCACATATCTTGACGATATTGTTGTGCCTTATCATTTGGTAGCCGTGAAGAAACTCTCAACACTCCATCAATTTATAATGAATACTACCAGCCGCCATGGAATTCAATGTGCAGTGGTCTGTTCATGGCTGGTTCTGCTGCAACCTTGTTGTCTCAGGACTGAGCCATATCACCCCGCAGATGTTCTATGCTCGAAGAGTTCTTTATATGACCGCTTACACATCTTACCTGCACACAGGTCATGGAGGAAGACTTGCCTTGGATTACCTGCCCTAGCTTGGGTGGAAGCTCCAGCCCAGGACAAGTCGAAGATGAGTTTGCTGGGTGACGATCATGCTAGCCCATAGCGAACTCTAACAGAGACTCCTTGGTGCTAATATACATCCGCCAACCCCATTTGGACCTACACCAGGTCGTTCTCCTTTGAGAACCACATCGCACTAAGGCTCAAGACCTCTTTATATGACCGCTTACATGTCTCCTCCTGTATTTCAGAGAAAAGAGATCGATAGGGAGCAAGTTCTCCACAAAGCTTCTTTTGCTTTCGATCGCTACCAATACTTTGTTGGGTCTTATGATTCTGCTTTTTGAATCACACTTTCAAAAGTCGAGCATCGAGCTCGCCAACATTTCTCTGTCCCCAGTCTATCTGCACTTGGTGTATATAGGAGGATAAAGAGTTCAACGCGACCAAGCCATTCTATCAACAAACTCTCCTGATCGGTACAACAATCCAGGATATCCAATCAGTTTAAATTCGTCAGAATGACTTTGCTCGTGATGATGTCGATGTCTTAAACGACTTTCGAACTATCTTACACACCGGAGAGCTTTGTTAGCATGTCCATGCAAACGGTCTACCAATGCTCATAATTGAGAGCGGGAACTGCTCAGACACCGCAAGCATGAAACAAAAGTGGTAGAAAGCATATTACGCTTATAAGATCCGGGTCATGTTCAAACATTTCCCTTGTGGGCTGCCGAGAAGTGATTCGACAGTTTTTGCTGCCAGTCTCCAACCTGTGTACAAGAGTGCAAAGCTGACTACAAGTATGCGAATGGTCGCAACAATTGGCAGTACTGTCAAGTATTTGCTGCACTTCCTTAGCTCAAGAACTCGCCATTATAGAGGGTGATGATAACGAAATGACACTCATTTGAATTGTACAAAGTCAGGTCTAAAATCAAGCATGTCAGTGCCTGGTAAAGCAAGCCCTTCTTGGGTCAACACTTCCTTCCTTGCAGTTTTATAATCAGGGTGGCGGAAGACAAAGGCTACAAAAGCTCTCCGCTGCCATCTGACATTGGAGAGCTTCTTTATATGACTGCTTACATATGCAAAGTCTAAGACGTCAAGAGATTGTCGACGGAAGCCTCAGGGCTCATCGCCATCCATGTACTCGACATCCAACAAATCAGATGTTATCGGTGAAATACATCCAGGCTTATCTTCTGATACTAGATCTGGTGTTTTGGTACCAAGCCAAGATCGAAATGCAGGGCGTGGCAGCAACCCACATCGAGGAGGCTCTGATCGTGGAAGAGGCAATCGGCACTGTGGCGGGCGTAGTGATCAGAAGCTCTTTTGGACAACAAAATCCCACCTCTGCGTTCAAAACAAGCGCATTCGATGCATGAAATGTGGTGCCTGGGAACGAAGGGGAAGTGAAGGCAGTTAGAACTTTGAAAAACGCTAGATATCAGAAAATGAAAAATGAATTAAAAAAATTGATACAGAACTTCCTGTCTTGACAAAGTGAACAATGATGCACTTCCACCTGAAATCTGATCTCTAGGTGGGTCTTTTGCTTGATGCAGGCAGAAAGCTGCGAATCGATACTCCAAATACATTCAAAGGTATCGTTATTCCCTAGCGGAATTCCTAGATTCTCACAGACACAAAGCCCTTTGATACCATAAATTAACTTCCTCAAATAGGTAAAACTGACGTAAAACAAAATATTACAGGTTTGATTGTGATGTCGAAAGAAGAGACAGACCAAAACAAACAAAATATCGGTGGTAACAGATTGAGGCTATTTAGCCGAAGCTACTCCGAACAATGACCCCTGGAGCTTGTACTTGGGTTTTAATATCTACTTTCGTATGTCCATATGAGTGAATCTGTTGTCTTCAAGTGACTGTCTTTTTTGTGTTACTGGACTGGTAAAGTTTAGTATCCTGAAATTTCTTATCGCCTCAGGAAAAATACAACCTGCAAAGAGAGCAAGACTCAAAGGTGGTTTGCAAAATTTTCACCCGATTTCAGATTGGCAACTGCAAACAACAATAAGAAGACTACTGTGTCACGTTCTACGATACTACAACCGCCCTAGAGTCTATACCAATCATGAGCGTCAAAACTGAGTAAGCTGAGAATTCTTCTAGTCAAGAACATGTAACCAAGAAGATGAATCACCAATCTCATCAGAGACTATGCTCTTTTGAGTCGAAGAAATATACTAACCATCCCAGATCCCCTCCCATCCGAGCATGTCTCTTCGACATGGACGGTCTCCTGATAAACACCGAAGACATGTACACCCTATGCGCGAACCATGTTCTTGCCAAATACAACCGTCCTCCCCTCCCTTGGTCCATCAAAGCCAAACTCATGGGCGTCCCCGGCGGGTCCACCAGTTCCGTCTTCATAGATTGGGCCCAACTACCTATTTCCAAAGAACAATACGCATTAGAGCAACGCGAACAGCAAAAGCTTCATTTTCCCTCCTGTAAACCTCTACCTGGTGTTGAAAAGTTGCTCAAGGATTTGAGTACGGCACGTGATGTTGAGGGGAATAAAGTACACATAGCATTGGCTACGAGTAGTGAGAAATACAACTTTGGGTTAAAGACTAGTAAAGAGGAGACTAGGAGTTTGCTTGAGGTTTTTGGAGAAGGGAGAAGGGTCCTGGGAGATGATCCGAGAGTGGAGAAGGGGAGGGGAAAGCCTGCGCCTGATATTTATTTGTTGGCTTTGAGGCTGATTAATGATAGTTTGGGGGAGAACGAGAGGCCAATTCAACCAGAGGAGTGTCTTGTATTTGAGGATTCGGTGCCGGGTGTAGAGGCGGGAAGGAGAGCCGGGATGAAAGTTGTTTGGGTTCCCCATGAGGGATTACTTGCAGAGTATGAAGGACAGGAGAAAAAGGTGTTGGCTGGGAGAATGGGTATGATGGTTGGAAATGAAGAGCAATTGGGTGAAATTGATGACGGTTGGGGCCAGCTTCTTCCCAGCTTGGAAGATTTTCCTTATGAGACATATGGTATTGTCATTTCGTAGACGTTACCATCCCTTCGAATTTGGAACCTTGATTCATCGAGCTAGACTTATTATGCGTAGTATCCTCCATGCACAAAGAAGTTTCATTCAAAACGAACATTAAAGCTTAGGAAGCTCGACTTAAAAGATTTGACTACTGGTAGATTATTTCTTATAGAAAACGGCACTTTATTGGTTCAAAGCATTGTTCAACACAATGCTATCTCATGTACAATTACTCCGTGGCCACACATCCAAAATAATGGTCGAGCACACATTCAACATAATGATCGAGACTAGCGCTTCCTGTATATTCTAGAGCTGCCCTAAATATACGGATCTAAGCATCCACAGTAAGCAATGGCCATAAGCCTTACTTGTCTCATTCTCTATCATACCTCTCCCAATCAATAAAAATAAGCTTCCCAACTTTTGGTTCACTCGTAGTTTGCGGCATGCAAAGCTAGCGTTCCACTGAAGCGAACTCCACTATACCTCAAGCTTTCATCCATCATTCTGATCTATATAAGTACACTAAGCTAGACCTGGGGATCTTCAATGTTTTCAGTGGGAATTTAGGTATACAAGTACCGATTTAGAAATAACGGTTAGTTTTCAACGGAAAATTCGACCTGAGCTCGTGGTTCCTCGTGGTTTCTATCCATGCTCGGGACTTAGATTTCATAACCTTAACTACGTTTGTACCGGATCACTGTCCGATTTCCATCTAATGACAAGCGAATATCAAGAGTGTATTCATTGATCACTAGCAAGCCCTTGAATCTTCCTCATAGAAAAGAAAAGTCGTAACAAATTTCCTAAGAACTATTGTAGTCTATGTAAACCAAATCAACGGAGAAAGGGGAATTTAAGAATGTCCGAGGCCGCAATGTGGGTCCAGCCTTCCGGACATATATTCAAAAAAACATCGCTATGTCCTCCTGCGGACAAAACTCTTGATCTCCACCAGGCTATAATTAAGCTTAACCAACAGCTCTACGTTCTATCCTCAATAATTAACTTTTAGCCAACAGAAACAGCATCCAATCCTGACCCGCTCGTAGTTTAGAATTAGAGCCAAGATACCCCGTGACTCTGTCTATCTTTGCAGGGCTCTCCCTAGTGACCTAGTTATGTACTTTGTGGAGAATCGCAAAATGTCCTGAAGTTTGAGCGCTGGGTTTGTCAGCAATAATCTCAAGCTTCAATTAATTAAACTCTGAGATAGGGACGAAATCACGGGGAAAACACACGGTATCGGTATCCGACGGTACGCCCTGTCCATGTGGGATATACCCGAGATGTCCGACGAGAGTGGTAAACACAGTCTGCGATTTCAAAGCATTTCTTTGGTTCTCATCTTCCTCTTTAAGTAATGTTCATTGATACTAGGACAACAGTATTCTTGGGACTGTCATTGGTTGAAACGGCAATTTGAGACGATGCTGGATAATATCATTCGAGCTCGCTAAACAACACATGTGGGTAATGTTGGTCTTGAATGAGAGTCGTGCTGACGCATAACGTGGTGTTAGAATAACAACGTCGTGGTAAAATGTGGTTGCGAGGCTCAACGGATCTCAAAACTGGCTGTTTACTAATCACACAAGATGCGACCGAGAGAACGACAACTACCTACCTAGCTAGTCTCCAATCACTATTTAAGAAGTCTTCCCCCCCTCGAAATCACATTATCTGACATCGGTATCATTCTGACTACACTCTTCTATCTTCCTCTATTTCTACTTTGACAAGCTATCTATCCAAATATAAGAATCACTTCCTCCTACCTCATCATGGATTCATTCAACTCCAAAATTGAGTCTGCAATTTCTGCAGGTAAAATTCCAGGTGCTGTCACGGCTGCCAGCAATGCTACGAGATCGTTCACTCATGCCTCATCCTACGGACCACGCTCCCTTAACTCTGCTTCATCCACACCTTTGAAAACAGACGCCATCCTTGCAATTGCCTCCTGCAGCAAACTCCTAACCTCAATTTCCGCTCTCCAATGTGTTGAGCGCGGCCAATTCACTCTCGATGAAGATGTTTCTCGACTTCTCCCTGAACTCAAACTTGAGGATCTTGATATCCTCCAAGGTTTTGATTCCGAGGAAAAGCCCAAACTTGTAAAGGCCACGAAGAACATCACGCTCCGTATGCTTCTCACCCATACATCCGGGCTAGCATACGATGTCTTCACACCTGACTTGATCCGCTGGCGAGCAACACGTGGTGAAGTCGCCACGCTTGACAAAGGAACCGTGATATCACGTTGCAAAACCCCATTGATGTTTGAACCTGGGACTTCTTGGGCTTATTCTAGTACGTTTCCCCTCTTTTCCAAAAAACAAACATGAAAGCTAACAAGACTTCACAAAAATAGCCGGACTCGATTGGGCCGGTATAATGATCTCACGAGCCAACAACATGACATTGGAAGCATACATGAATAAACACATATGCGCACCCCTTGGCATCACTGATTTCACATTCCACATTGACCAAAATCCCTCTTTGCTTTCACGCTTGGTTGATATGACTTTTCGCGTTGGAGGCATGACTCCCTTCGGTACTGCCGCCGATACCAGCGGTGCGCTCGTCTACACCGCGGACACTTTTTGGTCACCAAAGCAAATCGACGACTCAGGCGGAGCGGGGGTGTACACGAGTATTCCGTCTTACCAAAAAGTCTTGCACAGCATCACGATTTCAGACGAGAAACTTCTCAGCAAGACGATGAATGACAAGATGTTTGAAGCGCAGTTAACAGAGCCCCAATTGGCGACTTTGAATTACATACGTCAGATTCCGGAAATGCGCTATATAATGACCCCCTCAATTCCAGTCGATACGAAACTCGATTATGGGTTAGGAGGAATGATACTTCTGGAGAATCTGGAAGGAAGAAGAAGAAAAGGGGCAATGTATTGGACTGGATTGCCAAATTTACTTTGGTGGGCTGATCGAGAAGCAGGTGTTAGTGGAATTTATGGAAGTCAGTTGATTCCTACTGGGGACAAGCAGACTATTGAGATGTTTGAAGAATTTGAGAAGGCTGTGTATGCAGAGGTGGCGGTTTGATGGAAGAGTAGACGTTCGGGGTAGTGTGCATCTTTTATATAGACGATTGACTTGGAATTTCACTTATAAAAACGAACTATGGCTTTATTCTCTGTGCCTTTATTTGATACCCCTAAAATTGAACTAAATCTACTTTCGCGTTATAGATTCTACGATAATAGTAAGAATCTATGTATTTAACATAGAATTTATAGGGTTTAAAAATTAGAATCTGTAATCCTGAAAGCTAGAATTCACAATTGAAAATCAGAAATTAGTGTTAAAAGAATAGAATTTATAATTAACTCAAAGGTAGAATTTATGCATACATTCTGAATACAAAATAGGCTATAATCTAAATGATATAAGAGCAAAAATATCTCAGCCTCAATGACATAAAAGTAATAGCACGGAAATAATCTAATTTTTTTCATCTAAGAACTTACATCCCCATCTATTTCTCTTTTCCACTTCCCATCCCAATCAGTCTCCATCCACTTTCCTCCATTCGCATCGAACAATCAAGAAGCAGCATAATCAAACTCCACAACACATGTCCAATTTCTATCGATATACGATACACTCCAACAAACCTGATCTCACAAATATGCTTTTCATCAGCATCCACGATCTCGGGGTTTTTACCATCAAGTCTTCTCACTCTCCACCTCATCGATTCAATAATTATGTAGAACAACAACCGTCAACCACCCACCAGATATCTAATCATATAACCCTCCAACAACTTCCAACAAGCCCTCATCCACCATCAAGAACCCATACTAACCATCTCAACCAAAGACAGTCGATCGAATTTCAAATACTCACCCATCATGTATATGCAGATATGTGTATGCAAAACTCGCCAAACGAAACAAAATAAACCATGGCTTGTTAAACGAAGCCACGTTCTCTAAACCGTGCATCCACGTATGTCCCAATGCAAAGGAATGGAAAATTAAATTTTATATTCTGATCTAATTCTAGATCAAGAAGTGGATCTCGAGGAGCCAAAATCCCCTATCAAACGGAAGTCACATCGCCTAGTTACAAGTCAAGTCCTCTGTGTCTTTTCTCTCCATCTAGATACCATCTGATCAAACTCGAAGATAAGAAAATAAAAAAACTGCACTCAAAGGCAACTGCAGATATTCCTTTTTTAATTGTCTACAATGAATATATACTATTTCCCGACCTGGTATCATTCATGCTATTCTACTAACATAATATTCGTTGATCAAACCATCCAATCCACCACCCACTGACATCCTCGTCCTCATCTCGCCTATCTTCCCCATCTCTTCTGCGACTCTACTCCCCTCAAAAAGATCCATCAAACCCATCAAAACTATCAAGCACGCCATTCACCCATCTGTCCATCCAACGAACCATCCTATTAGATTCGTATTCATGTTCTCATTCCGACCCAATTTTTTTCCTTTCCTTACTCTTCCCACCTCTTATCCACCGCATCAATCGCCATGCAAAAACTTGTAATCGCAATGCCCAAAAACGCCACCGCTACACCCAAAAGTCTGATAAATCAAAAACCAAACAATGTATCACAAAGGAATATCTAAAGTCTCCACGTGTTTATCTTCCGCTGCCACCATTTAACTCACGGCTTTGTACAAAAAAAATGCATTCTTCGTAACGATCGTCTCATGTATAAAGAATTCTTCGCCTTCATATTGGCCTTGCCTTCCTCCCCTCTCTCTTATCAACTTTTGCTTGTTTTCCTTGTTTTGCACCAACCTTTCGTTCAGATCCGCGTTTGACCAATATCTGCTATGGAACATAAGCTCAATCAAGCTGTATTATTTCCTTTATCCATCTTCATCAACACGAGATTTGTTTACCCGTCAAGACTTCTCATGATGCCGGTTTACTTCTAGGCGACAACTCTTCATCACCAGGCCTAGCAGCCTTCGCCAATCCATTCAGAGCACGATTCTCGTGAATCCCATCAACCCCATCAGTCAATTGACGGCCTTGGTCCTCTCCAGTAGGTGTTTTATCATCATCCAAACACATTTGTGTAACAGATAATCGATGGGGTTCGTTTTTAGCCATTCCATACGGATGGAGGGGAGTTGGTGTAGCTTCTCCAGATAAATGTGATGCTGATGGCAATCGCTTTGAAGGTGAGGGTGAAAAACTACTTTCAACAGAATTTGTTCGTGGCGCTCGATTTGCAGGTGAAGAAGAAGAAGCACTTCGTTCGTTTTCATCTATAAAGGTGTCCTTTGCGTTAGGGAGAGAAGGAGCTCTTGCACCATTTGTGATTTTTTCATCTTTCGCATCTTGAAGGATGTCTCGTGCCACTTTCTTCGCATCTGCGTTAAGGTTCGGTAGGGAGAGTGGGGTCTAGGTGATATTAGCATTTTTCCTCTTAACATCTTCCATACAACTAACCTGCTGAAGATATTGATCCAATTTCTTCTTCAGAATTCCCGATCGAACAGGTTTTGCCAGATAATCATTCATACCAGAAGCCAAGCACTTCTCCCTATCTCCTTGGATGGCAGATGCTGTCATCGCAATAACAAGAATACCTCTGACTGCATCAATTGGATCTTTGCGTAATAATTTGGTAGCTTCATATCCATCAAGAACAGGCATTTGTACATCCATAAGAACGATATGATATGGGTTGTTTTCGCGAGCCTTTTGTCTAATGCCCTCAACGGCTGCCATTCCATTGTCGTAAGCGTCAATAATTTTGAATCCCAATTTTTGCATGAATTGGATAGCAATCTTTTGATTAATAGGATTATCCTCGGCAATACAGATACGCAAAGCATCTCGACTTATATGAGAGAAATCGTTGAATTCAGTAGGAACTGGTTGTACTCCTGGGGCCTCGATGGGTTTTTGTATAGCTTCACGCGGAGGTTCGTACTGAGTATCTCCTGCAGAGACTTCCGGATTGGCTTTATTGAAAGTCACAGCGAACCAGACAGTCGTGCCTTGGTTTTCGACACTCTCGAGTTCTATTTGTCCACCCATCATCGATTCTATGAGCGACTTACAAATACTGAGTCCGAGACCAGATCCACCGTAACGACGAGCTGTAGAATTGTCTGCTTGAGAGAAGGGTTTGAACAATTTGAGCAGCTGCTGTCTTGGTATGCCAATTCCAGTATCCTTGACCCAGAAAGTCAACTTAACGGCATCTTTGGTTTCCCAATCTGTTTTAGCACCGACAGTGATAGAACCATTCTCAGTGAATTTCAAACTATTTCCAATAAGATTACCAAGAACTTGATGAAGTCTGACCGGATCTCCATAAATTAGAGATTGCGGAAGGTTTATATCTTGAATGATTTCCACATTTCGAGAGCTCCTTTTATCTCTGTTGCTATATGAAACAGATCTGACAACTTCTCGTATCATCTCATCAGCATTGAATGCTACGATAAAAAGCTTCATCTTATCAGCTTCCATCTTAGAGAAGTCTAGAATATCGTTAATGACGGTAAGTAGTAGATCGGCAGAGACGCGGATCGAGTCAGCCATCTCCGCTTGCTCCTTACGAAGATCGCTATCACGGAGAAGCTCTGAATTTCCAATGACTCCATTCAATGGAGTGCGTAATTCGTGACTCACGTTTGCCAGGAAGATAGATTTGGCTTTAGCAGCTTCTTCAGCCAATTTGACGTTGCGAAGTGCTTCCGCCTTTGCCAAATTAGCGTTTGTCTCAGCCTCCAAAGCTTTAGCTAAAGCTCTTCTCTGCACATCAACCATAGAGTTATTGAAAGCCGAAACCTTTTCTACTTCTTTCAAAGTCAAGGCATTTGAATAACTGATGCCGATTTGATTGACCAGCAATTGGAGAACCGTGAGATTTCTATCAGTAAAAGCGTTTGGCTGACCTTCCAAATAGAGAACCCCAAGTAATGGTTTGATACCGTGGCATATCGGAATAGCAATGACTGATTTCCCCAGGGGGTTGCGGGCAGACCAAGCAGGATTAACATTACTAAACCTTTCATCATTAATGAGATCAGGTAGGAATACGGTCTCGCGAAATCGAGTGCAATAAAGAATGACCCCCTCAGCAACCAGTGCCGTTTCACTCAGAGGCAGCCCAGGTATGTGAGCCACAGCACCTTTCTCCGGGTCACCACTAGCAGCTATGCTCCACCCAATGGGATCTTCTTCTTCAACGACGATTGCAGCGACTGACGCCAGACCTCCACAATTTTGCAGAATAATCTCACACATAGTTTTAAGCAATTCATCGACCTGGAGAACACTAGAGATGACTTGCGAGCTTTCGAGAATGGATGTTAAATCCAGCATATCTAGAGCTGGAAGCCCAGAACCGGCATCAGGTCTCGCGGAACCTCCTTGCCAGGCCCCAATTCTATCGCCCTTTGTCTCAGAATCATTTTCATGAGCCCGTTGCCGCTCGTCATTCTCGTCCCCTTCTAGAGTACGATATGGCGTGGGTGCAGAATCGCCAGCAAAATCTGTTTGCGTGCTAGTTTCCATATATCGAAGGTTGCGGGTGGGTCCTTGCAGAAGAAGGCTATGTTCCATCTCAATATGTCTGGCAATTCCTCCTGCTCCAAATTGTCGGTACAACATTATTGTCTCTTGCAAAGCCGCCTTTGCTGGCCTTCGCGAACCGGCGCGTAAGAGAAATCCCGCAAGAAGAAAATTTCCTAAAGCCTCCTCGAAGACAAAGTCATGTGAAGAAGCATGATCCAAAGCTTCTTCGTAATGTCTCAGTGCCCCTCCATGATCATTCTCCATTTCGGATACTTGAGCTGCAAGTAACTTTGACCAAGCCAGATAGTTAACATCCGAAACAACCTGCCAATCCTCAATCTTTTTCTGGAAATAATAGACTCTTTCCTTAGTATCGGTTAATGCTTTGCCAAGATCCCATCCACTATCTCCTTTGGGACTTTGAGTCGCGGCTTGAACAGATTCTTGTTTTTTGGCCCAGAGATATGCAGCCAAGGAAAGACTGTGAAAGAAGATTGTGAAGCGTGTGTTACGAATAGACCATAAAGAATCTACCTGCTCCAGGAATGCCTCACCTAGAGTGATGGCTGCAGAGTAGTGGCCGTACAAAAATAGAGGAACAATCTCAAATCCTTCATAAATCATAATCGACCGGTCACTATTGGTCAAGGTATTCCTAAGCCATGCTTTGTACAATAAAGAATTATGCGAAGCATCATTGAGACATTCTGTTGGTGAAGTAATTATCGTCTTGCCTTGCAGCGCTCTGCAAACTTGCCTAAGGACGATGAGCATGGTCCCTCCTCTGCTGTCCACCTGCCAATCAGGCACTTCTTCACAACCATAAGTGCAGAATGATTCAAGATCTGCCAGGTTCTCTGAGGCAAAAAATTTGAGTGTGCCTACGAAACCGAAGTTGAGTATCGTCGACATTCTGTCGCCGGCTTGAATGGTATACTCTAATGCTCTTTCCAATTGACCAAGTGATTGAGAAAGCGGCCAGTGGATATGCCCAACGAAGAGAGAGTAAATGGTCCCACCACGGCCCAAGGTGTAAATGTCTCGCCATCTATCCATGAGTGCCAATGATACATTACCCATATCGCTTGCGAACTCAATCATATTAAATCGCGTGATTGCTATAGTAGCCAGGTGAAGAAACGCCATCCCGGCTTGAGGAAAACTGCCCCGCTTCAAATGAGTCTGGACCATGACAATTGTCATTTGGTAGAAAGTTAAAGTATCGGACCAAAAAGCAGCATTGATGGTTTCTACCAAAACGGCACCGACAGCAGCAAGATTAGAGTCTTCCATCATTGGTTTGTCAATAACGAGTGTCGCAGCGATCGATTGAATCTCCGACGAGAGACGTTTGAAATCATAGTCACACTTTTCGAAACTAGGATTCCCATCAACCTCGATATCCAAGGCAGCCAAGCATTGTTTCAATGCCTCAAAAGCACTCCTTGAATCGCCTTCTTGTGAAAAAGTGCGACTTTGAAGTACCCACGCTGGAGATTTATCAACCGGTGTTTTTGCGTTTTGGAAGATGATTGCCAATAGTCTTTTTGTTTCCTGGTACTGCCCCATGTAGAGACAACATTCTGCAGCCCTAGTGTATAGTTGAAGCGTCTCATCATAATAGCAATCAGGCTCATCATTGTTCCATGGATTCTTTTGCAATAATTGAAAGCACACGGCATAAAATCTTGCAGCAGTCGGCCGAGCGCCACTCTCTGCAGCGGCGGTAGCGCAATCAAAGAGTAACTTCCTGAATGAACGTCTGTGTGCCACCCGTTCAACAATAACATCAACGCATTCACAGATATGTGAGGCCGTCACATCTTGAGATCGCTCATCAGAACTATAATATTTCATAAGCGTTTGCGCAATGATAAAATGCATTTTGGGGCCATTGCACTCTCGTAATGATGATGCGGCTTGAATGTAACGATCATGTGCAAAACGAAAGCGATCATCATCTTGTGTTGCGACGATAATATAAGCTTGAATCGCGGCTTGAAGCCCGCCAATGGTATCTTGTTGAGTGTGTGATAAAAGATAGTATCGATCCGGCGGACATTCAACCATGTGGTTCTCAGAATCAAACTCGCCACTCATCAGTCTTTGAACCAATTCGAATGAGAATGTCGTTCCAATGAGGGAAGCCCAGGCAAGAATTGACCTAGAGGCTGGAGGTAATTCATTCAGACGGCTCGTGACGAATTCGGTATTCAATACCTCGTCATAACTCTTGGTTTCGAAGTTCTTGAATATCCTATCGAGATCGTATTTCCAAACATTCTCCTTGTAATCATACCATATACATTGTTTTCTGTGGCAGCTGTCTAACATCTCACGAATATAAAACGGATTACCTGCCGTTTTAGATTGGATGACAGCGGATAGAGGAATGATTTCATTCTTTGGTCGACAAAGAGTGGCAGAAATGTACTCTAAAATATCGTCTTCAGTCAAGGGATTGAGCACTATTCGAGTAACTCCGATACCATTATGTTTAACGTGCCCTAGATAAAGTTAGCACTCTTCGTCTTTTCAAAAGTCTGGGCATGCAAACGGATACCCTCAACGCCCGGAGGCTCTAATATTCCCTTGATTTTTTCAGGTAGAGTCTCTTCAGGTCGATAAGTTACAATAATGACCATTTTCATGCGTGCCGATATAATTTGAGCTATCAGATCTAAAGATTCGTCGTCCGCAAACTGTAGATCATCCAGACAAAAACATATGAACTTGTGTTGTGCAAAAACTCGAAGTACATCAAGGAATGTGTTCATCAACCGCACCGATTTAGTCGAAGATCCTGCCCGAAGAAAATCTTGAGAACTCTGGGAGCCCAGCGTGAGATTGAAAAGGCTACCTTGGCTCGAAGGTGAAGAGTCACGGCGTTTGAATTCTGCCCTGACACTTTTATTATACCCTTGCAAAAATTGCCCGGAAGGATTGGTTGACGGCATGGGACCAATCAAAAATTCGGGCAGTCCTAGTACCTTATGGAGTAGTGGCCATGCAGGTCTGACGTATTGCTTCAGCAGCGCGTGAAACGGGGTGTCTGTATTACTTTCAGAGAATACTTGCTTAAAGAGACTCGATAAAAGTTTAAGCACTGGTCCGAAGGGTGTCTTCTTAGCACTGTCGAATTTCGAGCTTGCAAAATACCCCCGCCGCCTCGCTTCTATATGGACAGATTGCACGAGACAACTCTTTCCAAGTCCAGCTGCTCCTGCTATACTTATAACCTCACATCTCCCTTTGCGCCGAAATTTAGTGGTGTTCCGTGTACTCATCAAACTTCCCGCCCCTTCAGAAGATCCCTTTTCCCCGGCCATACTATCTACAGGACTTTTTGTATCCAGTGACAATAATGAATTATTCCTCTCCCAAACCTTTAAATTTGTACCTGAACGGTGAGAGTCGTCTACAGAGTTTTCTTGAGAATTTGCGGCGGATCGATATTGACTTGAACTGGTTCTTTGAGTTCTGTAATCCGTAGGAAATAACATGTTGTTAGTACTGAGCGAATTTGACCTTCCCTCCGCTGAACTCGTGTTCTCTTCGCTGGAGAAGCTTCCCGAGGCCATAGCATCATATCCATCGAGACGTCCGTCAGACAAACTGGAACCAGATGATAAACTGTTAATGTCCTGTCTCTGTAAGTTGAGATGACGTCGAGAGACCTTATCGATAATCTTGACTACCTCGTCATGCTCGTCGGATCGTCCAATCATAATAGAAGGAAGTATAAAAAATGAAGAAACGTCTTTCGTAGCAATATTCCAGTTCTTTAGAGCAGTGGAGTCGCCAGCTCCCAGAAGCCTCCGTACTTCTACAAGATCGTGTCGTAGCCCTGAGACGGAATGGTACCTTTCCGTGATGTTTTTGGCCGTCATTTTCTGTATAATTTTACTGATGACGTCGGGAATATCTAGTCTGATACTCGAGACCGATGGTAGGCGTCGACCTAAAACACCTTGTATAATATCCATCGGGGTTTCTCCTTCGAAAGCAGGCTGTTGGGTGAGCATAGTCCAAAACAATATCCCTAATGAGTAAATATCTGTCCGACTATCAGGTTCAGCAGGCATACGGCCGGTCTGCTCTGGTGACATATATGTGAGTTTCGTCTTCGCGCCCAACTCTTTCGTTAATGTAGACCATCCCGTACTTGTGAGTCCATGTTCAAAAGTTCGCAGGCCCGAACCAAAATTGATTAATTTGACTCGGCCTGTTTCCACATTCATGTGAAAAGCATCTCCCCTGATCTCCCCATGGACGAGACGCTGCCCATGATGTAGAATCTCCAAGCATTCGGTGGCACCCACTGCAAAGTCCAGAAAAGCCTGCAATGGCACCACTTCATTCGGCGAGAAAGAATCGTCCCGAAATGCCTCATGCCTATCCCCTACCTTCCTTCCTTTATACCAAGCGGGGCCATAATCCACCATTTTTTGCAGGTAGTTGTATCCCGGATGTTCGAAGATGCAGACCACAATAGGACCTTTATCACCTTGTTGACTCGGCAACCTCACCAGATCTACTGGTCTTATAATATGGTTGCCATCCGGATCCACGGACCTTATTACATTTTGACATATGTGAAATGCTCTCTCCTCTCTCAGGGCGTGAGATGAAATGCGCGCGATGACTGGTATCCCACTCGAACTACGTGCGCTCTGGACGCTCCCGTGGTCGGAAACATCGTCGTGAAGAATGCCGGAATCACTTCCTCCATGTTCACTATCTGCGTTACGCGTCCTACTTGTGCCTCTGGTTCCAGGCCGAGAGGAATTTTGCTCGGATCGCGATGTTGTATTGCTGTGTCGACTTTGGGTGGAAGCATGCTTTGTTCCGTTGACCTGCCTATTTGTAAAGATTGTTCGTCAGTATTATTGTCGCCGAAGTAACCAGCTGCTCAAATCCGCCCAGTTTGCTCATCCGTCATCTGCCTTTCTGCGCATCTACTCATCTACGCCATGCCCACGAAATTCTCCTGGATGAAGTTTATTCTACTTACCAATTATCATAACTGGAGTGAAAAGGTTCTTTCGATTCGTCCCAAGTATAGCCAGCGATCTGGGCCAGTCTCTCGAATATTCTCGGGGGCGGATCCAAAACACCATCAAATTTGAAATCATCCCCCACGGGCAAAATTCCCTCCATACCTTGTGCCGGAAAGCTTGAATTCTGCTCGTATCGCCAACCAAATCCCAAAACCCTTCACCCACTTTCTCTCATTGCCTTATTCGTAAGTTCGAAGATCGTTTTGATCGGATAAGATAAAATTGATGTGACGAAACACAGGGGGAGGGGTCAAGCAACTCGGTAGCAGGTACAAATCTTCGATTTCGGAGGAAATCGATATTTGGGATTTCGACCTGTGGCGGATTTGTCTTTAGAGACGGGCTCGATGTGCTCGATGGCGGGACTGGGGTTGTTGCGTTAATGCGCCTGATTTAAAATAGCTTAGTAGAAAGATCTACGTCACTACTGAGTACAGGATAATATAAAATGGGAAAATCACTGGATACGGAGCAAGGTTTATTTTTTTAATCGAGAAAATCCAGACGCCTTGACGCCTCACAATGTTGTTGTTGTGATACGATATGATAGTCATTGGTGTATTTGTACTACAGGGCAGATGGTGCAGAAACGCATTCAAAACCATCTAGAAGGTTTTTAGATTCTGTAGAGTACTAAGGAGTGTGTAGCTAGATAGGTAGTGATCTAGTCAGGCATTTCTTCTTGATAGATTGTATCAAAGTTCGAAAACTTCCCGTGCCTAGGTATCCGAATACATATACCGGTACGAGTAGGTCAGTAGGTATATCTACTCCTCACAGTGGCTTATCACGACATTGCACGGAGATGATCATCCGGCGGCGAATTGATCATCTATTGAGATACCCCAACCTGGAATATGTACCAAGGTCAGATTTTTCTCGAAAACTGGGGCTTTTTATTCATTTTTTATTCATGTTATCCATTTTATTCACCCCCTTATCGATATTAGGACGGTAATGGCGGGGAACATCGCAATATGTATAATTCCCATTAGGTACTTGAACAAATGCATACTGGTATCCATTCTGCATCTGCATCTAGACTTCGGCAAATCTTTGAAGTCCGCCCACCAGTTCGAATTTGAATCGTGAAAGATCTAGATAACTAGGTAGGGCACAGGCTGAGACGGGGTAATGTTGTTAGCAAAACCCTAAATATATCATGAGTGGATATAATACCTACAAATTTCAACGTTCTCTACTAGGTAACTTTCATCTACTTCTCTCACGTTTCAACCACTTATGTCGACTTGAATTGGCATTTAGACATCAGAATCAAAGCGCACCATGAATACTGTAAACCATTTAGATTCACACCTAAATATCTACAGTCTCCACTTCAAATCGAGCACATGAGAACTCTTGTAACCCCAATATCAAACCACTCTTCCTCCCCTTAACTTGCCATTCAATGAAAGAACATTCTCGCTTATTTCCAAAACTACTTCCACCTGCTTCTCCATTTTATTTAATCATTACCTATCTTACTTCTTCAATACGAAACCTCCTATCCTCTTATCCTTATATTCTCATATGCTCGTATATTCTCAACACCATTTCCATCTCTTCTTACAGCCATTTCTAGCTTCTCTTAGGATTAAGGAAAGATCTTTACATTAATAAAATTACATTATCTTCATCGAAACATAACGAATACAGTTGATTCTATCTGAATTTCTCAAATTGTACCTATATGTATGCTCAATTATCTACCTACGTAACATCCATATAAAAATCAAGTGATCAATCAGCTCTATCCGTTTTATCCGGTTTAGGGGTTTCCATCCAACGATTATGATTATGGCTTGATAAGCAAACTAAATTTACAATTCTCCATATCTTCTCCTCAGTCTACCATCTATTCCCCTTCTTCAACTGAAGATTCAAGATTCTCATTGCTTTCATGATACCTACATCCTCCCTCTACAATAGTTCTTATACTCATTGTATTTGATGGCTATGTTCATTCATGTTTATAATCTGCTCTCCTATACCTTCTCCCCTTGGAACTAACATTTACTCTGATATATTTTCGCTTACCCCTTAGCACTTCCGCCTGTTATTCCTTTTATTCCTTTGATGTTATCACTCACTCTTAAATCTATATCAACTCACCTCTTTAATTGATGACCACCTCCATCTCACCTCTTCATATCCCTCATTCCATATCCCTTTCCCCCCTCCATATCCCAATCTCATCAGTTTCCATTTTTATTCATCCCGAAATATTAGCAGTTTCTCCTCCCAATCGTCCTATTTCAACATCTCTCCTCCAACTTCCATCAACCCCAACTATCTATACACATAAAATATCACATTCCCCTACAATTTTGCAAAAATAAAAAATAAAAGTTACACCCAAACCCCATACCATATCCAAATCATTGGAAATACATCACAGCCTTCCGCCAATTTTCTCCATCCATCAATCTATTCACAACACCTCCCAGGCAATACATAATTCAACCATCACCACAACGCGGCCCTAGGAAACATGCTAGATTTGCGAAAACCAAGCGGTATCCTGTAGTCCAAGATTGGAGCTGGTCTTTGTTTATACGCCAGTTCATCAGAAATATATCAATCATTCCAAGATATCTCCCATCTATCAATTTATACATTCAAATTCACCACTAGTAATACATAATATAAATATCAGGACCAAAAAATTACACGTCTCAAACTGTTGGCCAATCATGCGTTCCTGGTCTCTTTATAAATTAGTATACTTAGATATATATATCCTCTCATCTAGAGCTCTTGGGCTAAATCTCATATTTGATCAGCAGTCGAAGAGATCAACTGTGTAAGATAGTTACTGTTTCCTTTGCTGTTATATTTTAGAAATCAATATCAATAAAGAATCCAAATGAACTGGTGTTATTTCTTCTACTTTTTCCTCTTCCTCTTCCTCTTCCTCTTCCTCTTCCTCTTCCTCTTCCTCTTCCTCTTCCTCTTCCTCTTCCTCCACTTCTTCCTTCTTTCATACATCTACATTATTTCACATCTCTCAAGACCTATCTCATTCCATTCCATTCCGAATCTGAAGTCCTCTCTATACCTCCAATCCTCTTCAAATATCAACCTACGACAAGTCAAGCATCAACCCCCATCCCCCATCCCCCATCCCCTATCCCTCAAGTCTCAATCCAATTTTCCATTCTCAGACCGAAACCTGTCTCGATCTATAGAACATCTGATACTCATCCAATCCTTTCCTCCTTTCTCCTACTTCAAACTAAATATGCAAATACATTCATCTCATCTCATCTCCTCAACCTCTTCCAATCCCTCTCACAAACGCGAAGTCTCAACCCTCAAACCCCAACCAATCATTCAGAAAACCCAAAATCTACACCAACACCAATACCAATACCCAAAGCCCCAAAACCAAAGTGACAACGCTTTCATTCATCCCACAGTTAATAGTATATACAAAACAACTCTCATACACTTCATAAATGATAACATCTATAATCTACCACAAAAATATCTCAACCCATCTCATACTATTCAATCCCATATTATCATAGTATCCTTCCTATTTCCTTCTTCCTTCCTCCTTTTCTTCACTATCTCCTCCTTCTTGATTCCTCTTTTCTCGCCCTCTTTCCTCTCCGTACTTAATTTTCAAAATAGAAATTCCAAAATCTCATCACAACACAACATACAAAGATAAATAAAAAGTCCACGCACATAATATATGTATAGGTATATACACACACATCATTCCACCTCTCATTCCCTCTCTCATATCCCAAATTCCGGCCCCCCTCCCCCCTCCCCCCTCCCCCCTGCCCACCCTCTCCACCCCACCATCAAAACCCCCGCAAACTCCTTATAAACCCCAAGCCTTCCTCAACCCTCCAACCCTCCAACCCTCCAATCCTCATCCCATAGCTAGTCCCCCCTCCCATTCCCTCTCAAACACCAGATCCCCATCAGCTTACCTACCGATCTTCCTACCTACCCACCTACCTACCTACCTAATATATACAAACACTCCCCATCACAATGACTCCTCCTCACAATCACCATCACAATCACCATCTCCATCAAGCCTCCTCCCATCCTCATACATCACACCACACGACACCAAACCACACCTCTCTATCTAATCACTAATAAAGTATAAGTGAGTAATATCAATACCGGTACTTCATATCATATAAATTTATACAATACCTACAAATTTCAAAATACATTACGCATCTTATCCAGATAGAAGCATTCATTCATCCAAACATACCTGACATAGAGAGCCCCCTCCCCCCTCCCCCTCCCCCGAACCCTAAGTCCTCTTGCAATCCAAATTCAAATCCAAACTCATATTCGCATCTCCTCTCTCTCTTCTCCTCCTCATTCCCCTCTCAAGAAGAAAACAAAGTCAAAAAAGTCAATGAAACATACCAACCAAAACTTAAAACCCCAACATTTAAGAAACGAACTGTATAATGAGAGAAGGGGAGGTGAATCGGATTCCCAACCAACCATCCTTTCGGACAAAGTATAGATAGATATAGATATAGAAACATGCTTCAACATCTCTCTCGCTTCTATCTTCTATCTTCTCTCCTCTCCAATTTCATATGCATATTCACATCAACATCCATATCAACATCCATGATAATCATCTTCACCACACCTCTTTATTTTCATGCAAAAAGTAAATATCATCTCCCATCTCTCATATCCCAACCCACCCTCCTCACATCCAACTCCGCTTCATCAATCATCATATCGAATTTATTTCCATTCCCTTTCCCATTCCCATTCCCACATCCATATCCATCACATACGCTCTCTTCCCTCTAGATTCATACCCAGCGTAATTCCATTAAATAACTACCGAATATCTATACTTTCTTATTGTTTAAATATGCATCCATATAAATACATACATGCATACATACTAATATCATAAAGATACCCTATCTACCCACCTACTATCCATCACAAACTCCCAACTACTCACTCAAAACACCCATTTCAATAACCAAGCAAGTAAATTCACAATCCATGTAGTCCCAAAAAATACATTTATATATAGCTTTAATTCTATAGTAATTCGCTATTCACACAATCGACGGAGAAAATCTT